TGAAGGACCGTTGGAAAAAGATGGGCCAACAATTCAAATAGCCATTATTATTTAATTCTTGTGTTCAGTCAATTTGAGGCTAAATTAATAAAAAAAATTATTCTCAAAATTTTTAATTTTAAAACTCTTTAAAAAAAAATTAAAAAATATTTTTGTTGTTAGTTATTTGTTTAAAACATGTCGTTAATATCTATCAACTTTTTAAAAAAAATTCAAAAAAAAATTATTTACCTTTAAAAAAAACCCATAAAAATTTTAAAATAATCCGAAATTATCTATTAAAAATTTAGGAGTATTTTTTTAAATTGGTATTAATGGTAAAATTATTTTTTCTAACAAATTTTAACTAATTTAAAAGTGTTTTTGAATTTCTTAAATTTGGGTAATTTTTAAACAATTTTTTTTTTTAGTATTTTTAAAAAAATTTGAAGTTCAAACATATTTTTTTTAGTTAAGGTTATGAATTATTCATATTTATTTGTTTTATCTACATTTAAATTATTAATAAAATAAATTTACTTACATGACATAAAAGCAAATCATTTGAGGAATAAATGAGAATAAAATTAGTATCACCAATTTGTATTCATTTTTTAGTATTACAAAAAAAAAAAAAAAAAAGTTTTTGTGCACATAAATATATTCTTTTACAGAAAAATCTAGGCGACAAAACGTCGAGGAATGGAACGATGAAGTAGACGAGGACCCGCTCCCTACATTTCCGGATCAAGACCCGTAAAACAGATCCGAGAAGTAATTACTCAAATCATCAGGGGATAGTCGGACGACCGGATCCGACTCAGAAACCCGCCTAGTACGAACCCGGTTCCTCGCGTAAAACTCGCCGTATAAAGCTCCAAGTTCCTTTGCCAACGAGATTTTTATTTCATCACGGAGCTTCTGATCGGGCACGACCCAGGAGGTCTGTTTTCTGTAAGTTTCTTCAAAAGCTCTGTTGAAATTTCTGAATGATTCTCTTGCTTCCTCCGGTGAGATTTCTGTCTTTACGTCCGCCGGCAGCGACGAGAACACTCCATTCCATCCAATGCGCCCGTACTTGGAGGCGTACAGTTTGATCCTCGATTCGTGCCTCTCAATCCAGTCGCCGCCGAGGAGGAATCTCAGATTTGAGATGCGAACTTTGTTGACGATGTACTGGAGATTGTTGGCCAAGAACAAGTAGGAGAGAGCGACGTCGTTGTAATGCTCGCCTTTGCCGTCGAGTTTGCATAGGAGGACAAGAATCAGCCAAGCGAAACGTAAGGTAATCGGACTATCTTCTTCCTTAGGCGTTCCGTAGTATGATTCTGGCATTGATAATTGTTCTGGTAAAGGCCAATCGGCTAAAATGTCGTTGAGTATTCTACTATAATCGGAGAGGAACAAAATATAGTTCATCACGTAGCTAGTGAGTGGATGAACTCCGCCTCTAGGAACAGGTTTTTTCGATGATTCTTTCTGAATAGACATTTCGAAGTCAGTGATTAATGTGCGAATGTTTTCTCCGAGTTTGATTTGTGAACTGACGACTTGTGATTGCACATTGGATGATGCTGTGGATGAGAAAATGTATTTGATCTCCGTCCAGAGGTCGGCTATGGCTTCGTATAGGTCTAGTGTAATGAAAATTTTCTCCGGAGATTTTTTGTATTTGGCAACTAATTCTGGGAATCCAAACAGAATCATTGCACCGTCTTTAGAAATTTGAGCGAAGCATGATTCTCTGATGGGAAGGGAAGCCGAGAAAACATGATCGCAAAGGATTCTCTCTTGTTCGAACAGAGATTTCACTGCGGTTTTCACGCCTTTCAGCCAGGTTTTTATTTTCCTCTCTAGAACTTCCCAATCCATCTTCTGAACTTTCGAAAAACTCAATTTCTGAATCCCTAGGTTGTAGAGACTCTCGTCAATTATCGATTTCCTCACAGTTTTATAAACCTTGACGCATTCTTTTCCATAGCCGGTGGATATCATACAATCCGCAATCGCTTTCAAATCCGCCATGGCCGACAAAGAAACTCGCTCAACCTCAGAAATAGATTCGTTAGCAATTCCGAACTCATCTTCTGTCTCCAGTTCAAAATCAGAAACACTCGATCTGACCGATATCGGCATCGGCGATTGGACGCTAGAAACCGATTCCGAATACAAATACTCACGATTAACCGACAAAATCTGGAAAAACTCCTTCTGAAGCCTCTCCATGGCAGTGCTCATCAAATCATGAGCACTCACGAGCTTATCCGAAGATGAATCCCGAGAAGCAAGGTAGTGCATGACAGCATACAACTTATTAACGACTTCGATAAACTGTCGAGATTCATCACGGTCGTCCCCTTGAAACAGGGAAGCAGCAGTGGTGGAATGAGGTCCCCACCTCGCCAAAAACGATTTTGCAACTTCAAGAATCTCTTCCACAATTGAATCCGATAAAGGTGGGCTAGACGAGTGAGGCGATGGCGTGCTTGGTGTAGAAGAAGAAGGTGGAGGTCTGAAGAACACACTCCTCATTCCCTTTCGCGTCATGATGGGTAAGTAGGAATTCAAACAATACACAATTGATAATAATAATAATAATAATAATTCAGAAATTGAAATGAAATCAATTGAATCTGTAGAAGTGGGTTATTCGAGATATTTTCAGAGTGAAAGACAAAATTTGAGAGATTTCTTGTAGTGGGTGATTTAAGATATTTTTCTAGGGTAGAATTTGATGAGGAAATGGTGAGTTTGAGGGGTACTTATAGACGACGAAAAATGGGAAGGGAATATAGTTGTTTCTTGTTCTTTGTTGATGCCATTTTACCAAGGAATTCGTTTGTTTGTGTTCCGACTATCGTACGATTATGATTCGATTGCGTGGTGAGTATCACACTGCTTCCACACTGCCTTACAGTTTCAACTTTTTCTATAACGATTTACTTTCCTAGTTTTTCATATGCTTCTATGAATTTAAACGTCATTTCCACTTTAGTTTTTTATTCATCAAACTTCTTCATTTTTAGTTGATGTTAGGTGATAGATAATCCCGAGTAAATGGACAAAATGCTGAAAAAGTTAATAAACTTGGCTCCATTAAAGTTCTTTTAAATTAGGGTGGGCTCCAAAAAGCGTACAATATGGCCCATTATAAGCACATTGAGATCGGAGGTGATTTGGGCTGGGCTCATAAAGAATGGGCCTTCAATAAAACGTGGTTAAAAGATGGGAATAATAAAAATAAAAAAACCGACCACAGTGGGAGTCGAACCCACGACCTTTTGATCCGAAGTCAAACGCGCTAATCCACTGCGCTATGCGGTCATTTTGTTTACCATGGAACATATAATAAAATAACATAAACATTTACGTGAAGGAAAATTTGACATGCTTTCATGGCACCCTTAATTTTGAGGATCATATTTTATATTCATCTTTTCTATTATAAAGTATTTTTATTAATTTAGTTCGTATTTATTTGTTTTATCTACATTTAAATTATTAATAAAATAAATTTACTTATATGACATAAAATAATATGGAATAAATGGGAAGAAATATATTATTCATTCTATTTATGCACATAGAGGTGTACATGGTCCGGATTTGGAGATTTTTTTTTGACCTAACCCAAAAGTTCGGGTTGGTTGGATTGATAACCAACCGACCCAAAAATTTTCACAACCCAACTCTCTATTTTCGGGTTGAGTTCTCCCATTGCTAACTTTTTTTAAGTTTTTAATTTTTTTTTTATTTATTCACATTTCATACTTATTCGATATAATTTTAAATAAAAAAATATTGAAAGTTCACAAACAAACACAAATCAATTTATAATTATTAAAAAAAATAAATTCATGGACAACAATAAAAAAAAATAGTAAATCTTTATTTAATCGTAAGTAAAATTTATTATAAATTATGAAATTAAAAAAATGATAGAAAGGAATAGTTTAAATAAAATAAAATTTATGGAGTGTGATTTGTTGGTTTATTCCTATTATAAACAATGTATTTAAAAATAGTATAAAATAAATAAATAGATATTTGTTAATACATTACAAAGTATATATATAAAAAATAAAAATACCTTCAAAATCATATTAAATAATCTATCATAAATATATTTTTAAATTAAAATAAAACTTATAAAGTGTGATTGGTTAGTTTATTCTTATTATAAACCATATATAAAATGAATAAATAGATATTTGTTAATTTATTTAAATAATATGTTTAAAAACAAAATAAAATATTGATGTAATTTTTTTATTAATTTATTCACAATACAAATAATTGTGAGTAAAAATAATATGAAATATTTGAAGTAATTTTTTATATTTAGAATAAAATTTTATAATATATAAAAGAAACTAAATAAAATAATATAATATATAAAAGAAACTAAATAAACTAATATAAATATAAATCTTCAAAATCATATTAAATAACCTATCATAAATATATTTTTAAATTAAAATAAAACTTATAAAATGTGATTAGTTTGTCTATATATTTAAAAATAGTATAAAATGAATAAATACATATTTATTAATTTATTTGAACAATATATTTAAAAACAAAATGAAATATTAAAGTAATTTTTTTATTAATTTATTTAAACTAGAAATAATGTGGATAAAAATAATATAAAATATTTAAAGTAATTTTTTATATTTAGAATAGAAAAATGAATAAATAGATATTTGTTAATTTATTCAAACTTTTAAAAACAAAATGAAATATTGAGGTAATTTTTTGTTAATTTATTTACAATATAAATAATTGGGTAAAAATAATATAAATATTTAAAATTTATTTACACTACCATTTGTAAAAATAATATGAAATATTTGAAGTAATTTTTTATATTTAGAATAGAATTTTATAATATATAAAAGAAACTAAATAAAATAAGTTTATTAGGTTTCGAGTTCAATCCAAGTTTTTTATCCTATGAACCGAAAATCGAACCGAAACACTTCAATCCAAAAAAAAACATAAATATATTATTTTATGTTCTAGAAAACGGCAGAAAACGGAGAGGAGTGAGAGGATGGAGTAGACGAGGACACGCTCCCTTCACTTCCGGATCCAGACCCGTAAAACAGATCCGATAAATAATTACCCAAGTCATCAGGGGATAATCGGACTACCGGATCCGACTCAGAAACCCGCCCAGTACGAACCCGGTTCTCCGCGTAAAACTCGCCGTATAAAGCTCCAAGTTCCTTTGCCACCGAGATTTTTATTTCATCACGGAGCGTCTGATCGGGCACTATCCAGGAGGTCTGTTTTCTGCAAGTTTCTTTAAAAGCTCTGTCGAAATTTCTGAATGATTCTCTTGCTTCCTCCGGTGAGATTTCCGCTTTTACGTCCGCCGGCAGCGTCGAGAACACTTCACTCCATCCAATGCGCCTGTACTTGGAGGAATACAGTTTGATCTTCGATTCGTGCTTCTCAATCCAGTCGCCGCCGAGGACGAATCGCAGATTTGAGGTGCGAACTTTGTTGACGATGTATTGGAGATTGTTGGCCGAGAACAAGTAGGAGAGAGCGACGTTGTTGTAATGCTCGCCTTTGCCGTCGAGTTTACATAGGAGGACAAGAATCAGCCAAGCGAAATGTAAGGTAATCGGACTATCTTCTTCCTTAGACGTTCCGTAGTATGATTCTGGCATTGGTAATTTTGTTGGTAGAGGCCAATCGGCTAAAATGTCGTTGAGTATTCCCCTGTAATCGGAGAGGAACGAAATATAGTTCATCACGTACCTAGTGAGCGGATGAACTCCGCCTCTAGGAACCGGTTTTTTCGATGATTCTTTCTGAATAGACGTTTCGAAGTCAGTGATTAATGTGCCAATGTTTTCTCCGAGTTTGATTTGTGAACTGACGACTTGTGATTGCACATTGGATGATGCTGTGGATGAGAAAATGTAATTGATCTCCGTCGAGAGGTCGGCTATGGCTTCGTATAGGTCTAGTGTAATGAAAATTTTCTCCGGAGATTTTTTGTATTTGGCAACTAATTCTGGGAATCCAAACAGAATCGTTGCACCGGCTTTAGAAATTTGAGCGAAGCACGATTCTCTGATGGGAAGGGAAGCCGAGAAAACATGATCGCAAAGGATTTTCTCTCCTTTGAACAGAGACTTCAATGCGGTTTTCACGCCTTTAAACCAGCTTTTTATTTTGATCTCTAGAACATCCCAATCCATCTTCTGAACTTTCGAAAAACTCAATTTCTCAATCCCTAGATTGTAGAGACTCTCGCCTATGACCGATTTCCTCACAGTTTTATAAATCTTGACACATTCTTTTCCATAGCCGGTGGATATCATACAGTCCGCAATTGCTTTCAAATCCGCCATGGCCAACATAGAAACTCGCTCAACCTCAGAAATAGATTCGTTAGCAATTCCGAACTCATCTTCTGTCTTCAGTTCAAAATCAGAAACACTCGATCTGGCCGATATCGTCATCGGCGATTGGACTCTAGAAACCGATTCCGGATGCAAATACTCACGATTAACCGACAAAATCTGGGAAAACTCCTTCTGAAGCCTCTCCATGGCAGTACTCATCAAATCATGAGCACGCACGAGCTTATCCGAAGATGAATCCTGAGAAGCATGGCACTGCATAGCAGCATGCAAATTCTTAACCACTTCGATAAACTGCCGAGCTTCATCACGGTCGTCCCCTTGAAACAGAGAAACAGCAGTGGTGGAATCAGGTCCCCACCTGGCCAGAAACGATTTTGCAACCTCAAGATTCTCCTCCAAGATTGAATCCGGTAAAGGTGGGCTAGACGTGTGAGGCGACGGCGTTCTCGGTGCAGAAGAAAAAGGTGGAGGTCTGAATAACACAATCCTCATTCCCTTTCGCGTCATGATGGGTAAGTATGAATTCAAACAATACAAAATCGATAATAATAATAATAATTCAGAAATGAAATGAAATCAATTGAGTCTGTAGAAGTGGGTAATTCGAGAGATTTTCTGGGGTAGAATTCGATGAGGAAATTGAGAGTTGGAGGGGGTTACTTATATATTATGAGGGGTTTTTCTCTGTCTTTTTCTATTTATTTTCATTATATTTATAGTGTAAAAGGAAACAAAAAAAAAAAAAAAAAAAAGGAAAAGTATACTGTTGTTTCTGTTCTGTGTGGCTGCATTTTCCCAAGATATTTGTTGTTTGTTTGTTTTGGTGCGACGTCGATGGGTGCGAACGCTGTCTTACCATTCTAATTCGATTGCGTGCAGACTGTCACACTTTTTCCCTTTTCTTTCCTTTTTTTGAAACAGAAATAGATACCCAAACTTCCATTGTCTTTACAATTTCAACTTGTTCTAGAACGACCATTTTCCTAATTTTTCACATGTTTTTATGAATTTAAACATCATTTCAGTTCCATTTTTAGTTATTTGTTCATGACCTCTCAATATTTTGAGCTAGTTGTTGAGATAATTTATATTTAGTTGGTGTTATGTAATAGACAATTGCCTAAATTAAGGGATATGTTTGTTGATGTACAAGAGATTGAATTTTAATTGAACCCATAAAAAAATTGTTGGGGCTTAAATTTAACAAAAGTAAAAATGGAAGAGAAAGAGAATCCATTGAAATAAAAAGGTATGGATTACACGATAAGTTGAAAACATGAAAAGGAATTATCGAGGATAAAAAATAACACCCAATTTGATGACCGGTTAAAATATATTCTCCTATTAAATATTAGATTGGATTCAACATAAATAAATAAATAAATAAATAACATATAACAAGATAAATGAGCCACAAATTCATAATTAAAATGAGATTTGGGCTGGGCTCAATTAACTAGGCTCACAAGAATTGGACAAATAAGGCCCACGTAAGTCCTTTTAAATTGGGCTGGGCTCCAAAAAGCTACGAATTTGGCCCATTCAAAATCCATTAATAATAAAAATGAAAAAACTCGACCACAGTGGGAGTCGAACCCACGACCTTTTGATCCGAAGTCAAACGCGCTAATCCACTGCGCTATGCGGTCATTTTGTTAGAAGTGAAATTTTTAATTAATATCAAAGTAAACCAAATTAAAATAATATTTTAAAATATTGAAGACGGAAAGTAATTGTGGACTTTACATAAAGGAAAATTTGACATGCTTCATGGCACCCCTTGATTTCAGGATCAGCTCACTTTACTTTTTATATATTTTATATATTTATTTAATTTTTTCTACTTCCATTATCAATTATAATTTAAAATAAATTCATAAAGTTTTTAAAAATAAGACCGGTTACTTCTCGTAAATAAACATTAAACTTTTCAAAACTTATCGAGAAATTGATAATGAAAATATTATGAGAGTACGTATTTAATTAAATTATCGTGAGAATGAAGGAAGACAGAAATGAAACTCAAAAAGTAGTGTGTCTAAAAATTGTGATGAACCGAAAAGTTCGATCAACTTGATTAAACCCGTACTGTCTAGGTTTTAAAATACGTAAATTAGGTCTTTTACAAATTTTTTTTTATAAAAAATAAAATTTAAAATAAACGATTGAATAACCCGATTGATTGGGTTAATATTTAATAAGAGTTGTTTAGGTTAAGTCAAAAAAAATGTCTCAACCTAATCAACCCGATTCAGGAACGCCCTTAAAAAGAACAATGTGGAGAAGGGTAATTTAGGAATTACACATAGCCACGTGTCAGGAAGATTAATCTTAGGGGTTGGTGTTTCGCCATGTCCTTCTAAACGAATTGGTCCAAAAAAGTTTCCTCATTTTCTGGCTTGTTTGGTTTGTCCATATTTTATATCTTAATAACACGTATTAATTAGGATTACAATCTTATTAACTACTAAATATTTTTTTAAGAAAGTATATACAACGAAAACGATCCATGTGCCACAATTAGACTCGTCGAAAGATAGATACTCAGCATTACGGTAGTGTGAACCTTTGGCCAACAATGTTGAATCTTGTGGTAACATTGGACATTATGACCTAAATCTTGTGGTAACGTTGAATCTTAATGTGAGATCCCACATCAGTCGGAGACAGGTATGAAGTATTCCTTACAAGGGTGTGGAAACATCTCCCTAATAGACTAACGGTGATACATAACGGGCCGAAGTGGACAATATCTACTAGCAGTAGACTTGAGCTATAACAAATGGTATCACGTATCATAACCAAGTATTGGGTGGTGTACCAACGAAGACGCTGACCCACTAGAGGAGTAGATTATTTTAAAATCATGAGGTCGACGACAATGTGTAACGAGTCAAAATAGACAATATATGCTAGCGATGGACTTAGGTTGTTATAGTTAGGGTTTTGAACTCGGGATTCGTGAAACAATACCCACTAAGCAATTGCCATTATTTATTAACAAAAAATGCATATTATTTGCCAAAAATAAGACCATATAATCAACACAACTCTCTGTCATTCATGTCCCTAAGAGTGGAAGTAATCATATCATACCAACAAAAATAATTTCAATTAAAAAATTCCCAAAAATAAAAAAAATAAAAAAATAAAAACCAAAAATTAATGACAAGGCTTCAAATTACGTAATTATCCCCAATTCTTTCTCGTGGGTCCCACCCCTCTTCTTCTTCCTCCTCCTCCTCCTCCTCTCTCTTTGCTTAAAACCAAAATGGTTGCTCTCATTTCATCACATATTTCAATCCCAACATGAAAAAATTGGACTTTTTCTGCAAATCCAGAGCTTCCACGGCGGTTCGTTCAAGTTTCGGTCGTCGTCCGGTTGACGGAGATGCAAATTCCGGCGACCGGAGGAAATGGCAGCTTCCTTTTGAGAATCACAGAAAGAGTACGAGCTGTTCTTCTGTGAATCGGAAGGATCATTATGATTTACGAAGAAAAAGCTGCGCAGATGTGGATGATTTGAAGAGCTCTGTTTCTGGGTCCTCTGCTCGTTATCTCTTGAGTGATTCATCGTTCATTGACTGGTTACCGGCGGTCTCCGGCGAGGATTTTCCGGCGAAACCGCCGAACGAGAGGAACATGATAAGCCATAGTTCGCTGACTCGATCGTTGACAGTCCATGAATATCGTGGCCAAAAATCCCCTTCCTCTGTTCTTCAATCCCCTGTTTTGAAAACAGCTTCTTCGGCTGTTCATGATCAGGTTTTGTTCTTTTTAAGAATAATTTCTTGTCCTTTTCGTTCTAATTGGTCGGGATTTTAAAATTTTCTTTCATGATTCAAAAGGTTGTGGTTCTTAAGGTCTCATTGAACTGCAAAGGCTGCGAAAAAAAGGTGAAAAAACACATCTCCAAGATGGAAGGTAATGGATTGAATTCGACAAAGCTGTTCTTCTTTGCATTTTGAGCTAAAATGTTCATATAGTGTTGATGATCATGCAGGAGTTAGCTCATATAGTGTCGATTTCACAGCAAAAAAAGTGACCATAATTGGAGCAGTGAGCCCTTTTGATGTCTTAGCCAGTGTGTCAAAGGTTAAGTATGCTCAGTTCTGGACATCGCCGAGTTCTTCTTCGTGTTCGTCGTCTTCTTCATCTTCAACTCCGCAATCCTGTTCGTCATCGACATTTTGATCAATGGAGCTATTTGCTGCAAAAATCCCATCTGGGTTTTGCTTGTATTATGCAGAAAAGTTGCAGAATTGATGCTTTTCTTTCTTCTTTTTCTGTTTTGGGTGTAAATTTTGCTGTTTTTGTGATGAAGTTGCAGTAGTAATTCTGTGTTTCCCTGTGGTTTAGTTTGGGGAATAAAGAAAAATGTTTTTTCACTGTTTTCGGGGTTAAATCCTTCCAAATTTGACGTTTTGTGTAGCTACTTCTAACGACTATATGTAGCTCATCGTCTTAGAGAAACTATTCGATGAGACTGCTGCAATGTAAACATATACTTCTAACGACTATATGTAGCTCATCGTCTTAGAGAAACTATTCGATGAGACTGCTGCAATGTAAACATATACTTCTAACGACTATACATAGCTCGTCGTAGAGAAACTACTCGATGAGACTTCTATAATGTGAACATCTACTTCTAACGAGACTATATGTAGCTTGTTGTAGAGAAACTATTCGATGAGACTGCTACAATGTAAACATCTACTTCTAACGACTATACGTAGCTCGTCGTAGAGAACCTACTCGATGAGACTGCTATAATGTGAACATCTACTTTTAACGAGACTATACGTAGCTCGTTGTAGAGAAACTATTCGATGAGACAACTACAATGTAAACATCTGCTTCTAACGAGTATACATAGCTCGTTGTAGATAAACTATTCGATAAGACCGCTCGAACGTAGAGTGATTATGTTTGAGTGGGAAAGAACATGGTGGAGAAAACATCATTAAAACTTTCCAACAGTGAGAAACTAATTGCATGCGGTAGCAGTGGTGGGTGGGCACTCAAAGAAGAAAAGTTGCCTTTTCACATACACCTCTTTTCCTGTTCATGAACAATGCCTCTGTTTGGAAACCTCCATGGTTCTTTTTACCATGGGCTTACTACAAACCTTCTCACTATGTAACTTTCCATTATCAGCATCATCTTTAACCTATTTTTAGTATACGACGAAACCACCAAACCGCCAAAGCCGTTAGTAGATATTGTCTATTTTGGCTCGTTACCTGTTATTGTCAGCCTACTAAGGAGAGGTTTCCATATCAATTGAAGTGGAATCTCACAGTCCACCTTCCTTAGGGGCTCAACATCCTCGTTGGCACACCGCCGGTGTTTAGATATCANTTGAAGTGGAATCTCATAGTCCACCTTCCTTAGGGGCTCAACATCCTCGTTGGCACACCGCCGGTGTTTAGATATCAATTGAAGTGGAATCTCATAGTCCACCTTCCTTAGGGGCTCAACATCCTCGTTGGCACACCGCCGGTGTTTAGATATCAATTGAAGTGGAATCTCATAGTCCACCTTCCTTAGGGGCTCAACATCCTCGTTGGCACACCGCCGGTGTTTAGATATCAATTGAAGTGGAATCTCATAGTCCACCTTCCTTAGGGGCTCAACATCCTCGTTGGCACACCGCCGGTGTTTAGCTCTAACCATCTGTAACAGTTCAAGCCCACCACTAGCAAATATTATCCTCTTTGGGCTTTCCCTTTCAGGGTTCTTTTAAGGTTTTTAAAACATGTCTGTTAGGGAGAGGTTTCCACACCCTTATAAGGAGTGTTTCGTTCCATTCTCCAACCAATGTGGGATCTCACAATCCACCTCCCTTGGGGGCCTAGTATCCTCGCTAGCACAACGCCCGATGTCTGGCTCTGATACCATCTATAACAGCCAAAACCCACCGCTAGCAGATATTGTCCACTCTATTCCGTTACGTATCACCATCAGCCTTACGGTCTTAGAACGTTTCTACTAGGGAGAGGTTTCCACACCCTTATAAGGAATGCTTTGTTCCTCTCTCTAGCCGATGTGAGATCTCACAATTCACTCCCTTGGGGCCCAATGTCCTCGCTAGCACACCGCCCAATGTCTGGCTCTGATACATCTATAACAGCCCATACCCACCGCTAGCAGATATTGTCCACTTTAGTCTGTTACGTATCACTATCAACCTCACAATTTTATAACGTTTCTACTAGAAAGAGGTTTCCAATACCCTTATAAGGAATATTCCGTTCCCCTCTCCAACCAATGGATTCAAACGAAAAACATGAAGGCGATCACAATAAGAAACATACTTGACCTATTAGTAGTATGCATACAAGGGAGGAATCAACCCTCTTCAACATCTCTCATAACGTGTTCCATGCTGTTCGACATAAGTTTGGGCCAACATAACCACACTCACTCCCACCCCTAGTGAAGATAACCCTGAGAACAGAGGTGGGTCTGATGTGAACAGCATATTTTGAGAGTGCTCTTTTGCTTTAAGTGTATCATTGTGAACGAGCCACGGTGAACCAGACAAGGACAACGGGGTGGAGCTTTTGCTCCCAAGTCTGTTTCAACTTTGGCAATGGTGGGTCATCTTCTTCTCTATGATTCTCTAACCCCATCTTAGCTTCAAACTTTATCATAATCTTCCACACATATGCGACAAGAGCTTTTCTTTAATCTTACTCATCTCCTTCTTCTTATGAAACTTTCCATAGGTTTGGTACCCATTGAGCTCATAGCCTAAATCATAGATGGTACTAAAGAAGCTATAAACAGTGTATACTGAAATGGATACCCTTTTCCCGCTCTGTGGCAACAAGAAATAGCAAATGAAAAGCAATTGGCATAATGGGCTTTTTTTCTGTCTTAACAGTGGGTGGGTCTCATGAGATCTATGCCGGCCGTCGGAATAGCGGGGTGACACCATTCCCGGACTTAGCAGTACATGGGTGTTTAGACCGGGCATGAATGAGTTTGTTTGAGCGGCTCTCACGCATGTAGACCAGAAGATCTCACATAGAGATCTTCGTGGGACTAGAGAGGGAGTCTCAATTGATCTTTTCTAGAAATCCTTATCATGTCACCAAACGGAGATCTTTCCATTGTCAAAGGGTTTACTCTAGAAGATTAGGTTACTACCGGCCTGCACGCCTCTACGAAAGGGATTGACTACGTACGACCGAGAGGTCATAAAGATTGGAACCCGGAGCAATAAGAACAAAAGCCCTACCCCTGCTGCTACACCTACTGGGACTTGAAAAGGCTTAGAAGATTGAAGGTTGTTTTCATAGACAAACTAGGGCAGGTTTTGAAGTAAGAAATTAGACGCAGATATCATTGAAGCATGAATCTTCATTTCTATTGTACATAGAAGTCTACCACATGAAGTTGTTAAAGAAAACTGCATCCATTTCAACATTTGATGAATACCCATGTTTCCAAAACCCTAGAAATGAACATAAAAGTGTAATGAACTCTGAAAAGTCATGAATAAACCTTCAGAAATATCTTGGCTAAGTACATAGAAATGTAATACACAGAATTCATTGTGTGAAGAAGCTAGAAATTCCATATGTAGTTTCAGTAATGCTTACCCTTTGAGCTACTTCCGCCGAGGATTGGAGTAATTAGCGAAGAAATCGAATCCACAATCCCATGATCTAATTTTCAATTTTTTTATTAAAATATTTCAAAAATTGTTCTCTGGGTTATTTTGTTCTGTTCTTCAAATTTCTTATTCCATCTCCTGTTTTTTTAATCTTAATTTTTCTATTTTTCGTGGGTAGTTGAACAATTTTCTAAGAAGAGGATTTAAAAAAAAAGGAAAAAAACAAAACAAAAAGGAGGAAAATGAATTCATGTGTGGCTGCTGGGATTCGAGCCCAGGTCTCCACGGCCACAACGTGGAATTCTTACCACTAAACTACAGCCACTTTGCTTCTTTGATTTACCGCTAATAAATCATGTACTTTATCCAATAATTTGCATTTATTATTAATAAATGTTTAAGTTATCTAATAATAAATCATAAACACTATCGAAGTTCTTCGGCCGATAATCATTTTGTTTTGGTTTTCGAAAATTAATCATGGTTCCTGGTAATTTTTTTTCATCATTTTCGTACCTCTTAAAGAAATATTTAAATTTCCAGTCAAAATTTCAAATGAATACAAGGTTTTAATCTAAGAGGGACAATTATCTTCCCTCCGTTTTCTGTATCATAGAATTTGATCAACTTCCACTTGCTGAACATGAAATCTGATGTTGGGGAAACAAACTACAATTTCACTGATGGAGTTGCTCATAAACACAATTTCATTGGATGAGTTGGGATCATGATTTCGAAGGGAAAATCGTCGTTCTCTATGCTACATCGAAAATGTTGCCTTCCGTCGATTGAATTGCCTTTGTCAATTGCTTCAAATCGGATTGCAAATCGTTGGTTCATCGGTTTCGTTGATCGGATCCTTGAACCGAAGCATCTCTTCTCAACTCTGGATTCTGAAGAATTTGAGCACGAAGTGTTTGATAATACGATACTCTTTCTCCGTCAACGTCTTCCCTACCAAGCGTCTCCAGCATTGCTGAAGAAGAATCAGGAGTAGGACAATTGATAGAGAGATTCGAGACGTGCAATCTGCAGAGAGGGCAACTCGAATGGTTACGGAGCCAGGCGTCGATGCAAGAACTATGAAACGAATGATTGCAATTCGGTAAGTTTTTAATCATTTCGCCTTCTTCGAATTCGCCCAAACAAACAGCGCATTCTGTATTGATGCTTGCCGTTGATTCGGCTTCTTCGTTCTTTTTGAACTGTGATATAGGTAGCAAACGAATCGTCGAGGCCTCCAATCCATGGACATGCATTTGCGGAGAAGGATCGTTAGGGTTTTCATCGAATTGGACAACAGATCGACCGCAAAACAATTCATGAAGGACACGACACCATCGTTTCAATATTCTGTAGTTGCTCAACAGTAGGACGACGATGCATACGATGGCGATGATCGAGATTGACCATGGACTCCAGCTAGAGTAATCAGGTACCGGAGATAGCGGCGGCGGCGGTGGCGGACTTGATGGCATGTAAGAATATAGAATCGTAGATTAGAGAAAAGCATTTGAAGATGATAAAAGTTATCGAAGGGATTCGATGATTATTCTGTTGATCTATAAATTGAGAAGAATAGGGAATCTTGCACCTGAATATCTCCGTCAAAAAGCAGATTGAAATTGCATTTAGATGATATCCAAGTAGAAAAAGAACAAACACATTGAATGCTAGTTAAAATACTTAAATATTGCTGTTTCTTGCAATTCTTTCTGCTGTGGAAATAGATTGATTAGCATGAGAGGGTCGATGATGAAGTTAATTTTGATGTAAATAAAGCTTCAAATCCCGTGA